ACCTGTGTGTTTAAATGGTAAAGAGCTACGGGCGGACCATATTTTGAACATGTTGGAAGATTGGTCAGCCTATATCCAAGAAATGCACGTCTCTTGCTGGGAATGCGAGTCGGAAGTCGAACAGTTACGACGCCTAAATCGAATGCCTGGATTTAAGCACATCTGGTATGCGAGACTACCCTTCTAACGTTATAGTTCTATCTCCTAAAATTAATTCTGCAGGAAAATGCTGACGTAATATGATATAGTCTTGAGGCCTTTGGAGTCCACAATGGCACACCCAAGGAGACTTCGTATTCATTCACTTGGGACTCCTCTCGGTTGATATCCATAAGCGGTGAAAATCCAGATTCCAGAATACATTTTCCTTCATTTGGGCAGCTGCAAGAGCTTGATATCAGAGCCGCGTGTGCTGAGTTACTGGTACTACCGAGTTTACCTACACTCAAATCCCTTTACATCGACTTCAATTCTCGCACAGACCTCAGAGACGACACTATAGTCCTTGTTGACTTAACATATTTACCCCAACTGTCTTGTCTTGAGGTGGCATGCTTGGAATCTGACAACCTGATATTGCTTGGCTCCCCAGAATCCCTGAAATTTCTCTCAATGGTTTGCTCTGTCATTGGAGCGAGACTTCACTCTGCTTTATCTAACTTAGGAAAATATCTCGAAGAGTTCAAGGCAATATACTCAAGCTTTTCATATGATGTCCATCCTGCGGGCCCAATCACTCTGGATCTGTCACATTTGACGTCTCTTGAATTGAAGGATTCTGTGGGGCTCCTCCCTTTGCTGTTTCCCCGAGGTCTGTCTGATTCGCTAGAAAACGCTATTATCGAAATTGGCGGGCAAGATATCTACAAATTAGCAAAGGCTGATTCTAGTCTCCTGGCGGTGTTTGAAAACGAAGATACGATGAGGATGTCAAAACATGAAGGTTCTATGTCTCTACTAAGACGTTTACTTGAAGCCCTTAGCAGTGAGTAGATTAGTTTATGTTTAACTATAAAGTACAATACACAGTTTTAACTCCAAAAGCAATAGCTGGAAACTTGAACAATACCGAGACTGGTGGCACCAACGAGCCGCGCTCTACAGGTCCTTTCCAAAGACAGTAGTTTCACCGTAGCTACTATGAATACTATAAAGTCCGTAACGCTGTACTGTATTGGTGGAAGAATTGGAAAGATTAGTATACTCTATATCGCCCAAGACGCGCCGTGGGAATGTAAAAAACCATATCCGTGTCAGAATAAATTCACCAGCCTCAACTGCGCACACGAGGATGTGCTGGCTATGTGACACTAGGATCTGGACCATTCTCGCTATGTGGGTCACATCACGAAAGCGTAGATAGCTCACTGTGTTCTCGCAATAGGTCGAGAAACCTTCTGTAGCCTGCGAGATAAGCTGCCCTATGGCTGTTAACAAATAGCCCTTAAATTGCTACATGGCTTCCAAAAAAGGCCGCACAAAAAAGTAAAACAAGTGACCAAGTGGAAAGATGCGTTTACAGTAAATGGTCAATCGGTCAATTACACTTCATTGTACTCGAACGATGAATTCTAGAATCAAGGAACTCAAAAAGACCAGCTAGACCCTCAGTCACTTGGACGTTCATGATAGTTTCAGAAGTAGATCTGTTACGTTACCGTATAGAGCAAGTTCCATGCATTTCAGTTCCAATTTCTCTAGTAACAGATACCGGTGCTGGGTGTCTGACACATCCACAATGACGAAAGATCATGAGAGGAAATTATTTCTAAAGCTAAAATTTCAGCCTGATCGTAATAATAAGACTACTGTAAACAGGAAATTCCGGTTAGTGCATAGCTCAATTCTCAACCGCCAATCAAACACGTTTCCAGCCAAGAATACTATCATATCTTCCACCTTTACCGTCTCTTAGTATTGTAGAGACGCGAGGGCATTTTGGCGCCTCTAAGATCACTTGCCATTCATCACCGAGACAGATCATTTTCAAGGCGCATATTGGGATAAGTGCACCCGGCTCCGATATCTCCCCTCCTATTCCACAAACAGATGATTTATCCAAACTGTAAATCGTCTTATCTCGAACGAAACTGTATTGTGTGCGTACTGATCTCCTTTCGAAAAAACGTCTAATCACCCGCTTTGGGAGTTTGATGATTTCATCTGGGCATATAGCATCACGGATATATAGTACGATCTCTGGGATGAGCATCTTCTGTTTGTTGAGGCCTTTAAGCCTAGTCTCCGGAAGGGTAACCTGGAGCTTTGCTTTATCATATCTGTACCCCGCCTTCAAACACTGAAATAGTAGATCCTTAGAATATTGTACATCACCCCGCCAATCATTCGTTACTAAGAGGATATGAAGACGTGAGGAATCTCTGTACCCTGGAGTTCCGATTTTCCCTAACTTTGGGCCAATCAGTGCGGGGCTAGCTCCCAATTCAACAGCCTTGTCAAGCCATTCATCTTTTTCGAATATAGCTCTCCAAAGCCTATTCTCTTGAGTTTCGTTCTTTAAGAAAATATCCGCTGCATTTTTAGTGAGATTAGGGCTCAGCCCTTTCACTACAATGTCAAATATTTCTTGTGGGATTTGTTTCAGTGAGCGCATTTTCTCTAGGAGTAAACTCTTCAAGAATGTAGGATGTTTGATCATTTGGGATAGCAAAGTAGCAAATGGTTAGGAGCAGGCACGCTTCTTAAACAAGACCTACATGACAATGACCATCCAAATGAGATTATGCTTTGAGTGCCGGCTTGTCTTTTTCGACATGCTTGTATGAATACAAGAAGTGTCTATTCGTCTTTTGAACACTATTATTCGTCATATGCCACAACCCTGTTTAATAAATCAATAAAGTGAAGTACAATATCCATCCGTTGCTTTTGTCAATGTAGAATGTTGTCACTCAAAAAAAAAAAAAAAAAAAAGGATCTAACGGAACCGGCCTCCTAGAAGTTTTACAGGTGACGAAAAGTGTTATATTACACAATTATTCGGTCAAAATTGCTAGTTTCTTTCAGTATCGGCATCGTGGGTTCTCGAATAAGATGGGCCACAATTGTTGAACGGAAGATTGGAGCAGCAAAACAATCGGGGGTAGCGAATCAAAGATCGAGATGGGACATCTAAATATCCCGATCGATTATAAACTTGTAATACGAAAATTGGTCTAGACGCGAGTAATGTCAATTTAAACAGTATTGTGAACGAAAAGTAATCAAGGTAATCATTTGAGCTTATAAGGCTGCCTGGAGCGACTCATTCCCCCCAATTGCTCCATAACAATCAAAGAAGTCTCAATTTCTGTCGCTACCTTGAATTTCAATCAGAATGCGGCCAATAACCTATGTCTCATCCGTATGCCTGTTAACAAGGCTCGCCGTTGGTAATTCATTTGCTGTTATCAATAACCAGGGGGTATGCAGGATATGGTCTGAAGGGAACCACGGCTGCACCGGCTACTCGGAGCCCTTCGCCAAATTCGACGGAAAAGACTGTTCGAGTGAGTCCTTACGTCTTGACGTCCACACAGGCCTATCTTCACAGACTAAGAAGATGTTGACTAATCTCCAGGATTTTATATAAACGGGACCAGCACTGATGCAACGGTGCTCAAGCTTGACATTTGTGGTACGGAGAATGGAGGACAGGCTGCGTGGGTGACTGTGGACAAAAACAGCAGTGTTTCTTTTATAAATCAACAAGGAGAAACTTCCAAGTGCGTACTTGATAATGATTTCAAAGTTGGCAGCAAGTGTAAGGACGACAACACTGGTTCATCTGGGTCTAGTTGTTCGACAACTAGTTTAAGACAACATCCAGCCCAAAACACCAATACCTGCGCTTGCAACTAGAGAAATTGCACGGCAATTGAACATTATATCCATGAATTCTGTGTTATAGTAAATTTAAACCTTGGAACGGTGATGTTATCCTCTAAATGTGAAGTGATTAATAGCCTTGTATTGGTTTCTTTAGTTACAGTACTTGATTCCTATAGTTCATGTTCCGAGAACAATAATTTAGTTGGTTTAGTGCAATTGGGTCCGTGTCCACATCTGACTACTGGTTACTTGTTTTGCTGTTCTGAACGGGTGTGACTGTGGGCAATGCAGCAATTTTACAAATTACTCCCTCACATGGCTGTTGGACAGCTACGTCGCAAGTCTTTTTTATTCGTTGAACTCGTCCTAGTGCACAAGCTTTTATGTAATACTGTCTTGTACCGGACTAGCCGCAATGAGACCCACTAGATTAGAACTTCCCGATAGAGGCCGGCGCACAACGGAGGCACAGTACCCGCCCCCTAGTAGTCGGGCCCTCACCGCTCTCCGTTGGTGAGGGCCCGACTACTAGGGGGTGGGTATGTTGAACATTAAGTTTTCGATGCTAGTGGAACCGATACCTCAGAGAGGGCTTGCATAGAATCAACTCAGTCAATACTGAAAAGAACTAAATTTCTCCGTTTAGACATGTTTATGGTCGTGTCATACTGTAAAGGTTGCACCGGCATCGCAGCAGATGAAGGCAATTTCTAACGGCTGAGGCTTTATGTTGGTTTTATGATACCAGTTACCGCATTGCGTTGCACACGGTGAACGGTAGGGAGAAGACGTCCATGCATCCACTGCAATTCTGCAAATTTCATACGATAGATGGAATTTTCATCTTATATCACCTAGGAGAGGCAATTTAAAAATGCCGTATTTGATATACTTTGTTTAATGCTATTCGACCGACATTTTTGAAAGCTGGCAGGCATGGGGGGATCGTCTGCAAGACAGTAAATGCCAGCTGATATCTTGCCCAGGCCCAGCCTCTAGAGTCTATACCAGAGCTTTAAGGTCAACACGAGTTCTGGATGACCCCAGATTTTCGTCCATGTCCCCAGATACTTCAACACAGTACGATCTCTAATAATCAAAGATCCATCAGCCACCGCTTGTCGGTGAAAAGACGTACGTCCGCCGAACCGCCATAAAATACGATTTAAATGGAGGACCTGTCGCCACTAGGCAACACGGCGCTGCCCTGTGACAACATGGGCTACCAAGCGCAGATGCCCACGTTTGACTACCTCCAGAGATATGAGGGGGAAAGTCTCCATGAGAATGAAACCGATTTACCTTTCCAGACGCTTATTCCGCAGTACGATCAGTCTGCTCCAAACCACTTCTGTTCCCACCAGCCGGACTACCTACCTGAGTATAACTCTATTTTTCGCATTGTCCGACCAAACTTTTGCCAGCTGGAACAGATGCCAAACTCGTTGTCTGTGTCTAAAATACTCCTTGAGATCCCTGCGAAAGAGTCCTTAACATCGCAGACTGTCACACCTCTGCAGGCTTTCCCCTTTGCAGCAATAGATACTCTTCCCTTCTCCTGCTTTGAGTCCCCGCCCAGACTCGCCACTTTCAAGACGCAAAATTCTCTGATCCCTATCCAACCCTTGAGAATTTCCTTCGGCGCCGATACTCTCTCTAGTCAGTTGTCCGAAGCACTGGCAGAGTCTGACAAGAAAAGCCACCTCTCTCTAGTGGGCAATGGGATTTCTCCGAGTCAACAACAAGGTCAGGTCTTTCGCGGGCAGCCCAAGAAGCAACCTGCAGGTTCTAATTTGAGCCGGAAAAAGGGGCGCTCTATTGTCAAAGACTCGCAGTTCAAGTGCAAGATACCCGAGTGTAACAGTTCCTTCGGGAGTCACGATAACCTAAAGCGGCACGTGATGAGCCACTCCCAAAGAAAAGCGAATGTCCGCTGGGTGTCTGGGTGTCACCGCGCTTTCTTGCGTTGCGACAACCTCAACGCCCACTACACAAAGATGCGTAACAAACCGGGCTGTCACAACCTTCATGTTTCCTATGAGACGAGCCCCTAGTACTAAAACTCTCTGTTCTGCGGCCAACTGACATCTGACGGGCGTCCACTATTTGTCAAACAGCCTTGAGAAATCGTCGACTGCCAATAGTATAACTTACGTACCTGGGATACATATATGAAGCACTGTACTATCTCTGAGATATTTATCACCAGAAGGTGGCAAGCAATAGATTCAATGTTGAGCCTTCTTGCTTAGCGGGTGTCTTGCAAATGCAGCCCCAAGACAAGGTTTACTTCATTGCTTTCGCAGAAACCAAATATTCCCACTCGGCTGTTAATTTTTTTGGCACTAATCTTCCCATTGATCGTGAAAAATGCGCTACTTTAACAGCGTTGGATGTGCGTCCCTGCAGAATATTCTGCCGGGAAATACTGCCCGACGCGACTGGAACCGCGGACGAATTGTCCAGCACAGCAGTAACAAGTTTAGAGTACCGTCTGCAGATTACTTAACATTCCCTAAAAGCTAAGTAGGTGACCATTGAATGAATTGCCTCTGGATGGAAGATTTAGAATCTGCCCATAAGCGGGAATGAAGATGCGTTGTAAGAGATAAGCAATATCAAATTTCGACGAGCAGATCGGATTCCTTCTTCGGCCATATATTTTATATCATTTATTCACTCCTGGGTAACTTACAGTACATAAAGCAAATAAAAGAAACAATCTCCTCATTGGCAATTGTATTACAAGAATAACTCAACTATCACTGTCAGGCATTAATGTGTTCCACAAACGAGCGAATTACGCAAAACACCATAGTTCACGCGATAATTTACAGCTGAATATCTCAATAACCACAGTTTGAATTACTTGATCATTAGTATTTTTATTACGTAATAGCGCAGTTTGACTCAAATTCAGTCTGAAATATTTAGGAGATCGCTAACGCGGGCGATAACAACGGAGGGTGACTACCTCAGAACTCCGACGTTCAACACAGCCCTATATTATCAACCACCAATCCGCAGCCGTGGAGCTCAGTTCAACAGATTAAACGTAGCACAGCACATTGAGCAGATGTGAAGAAAAGAATGAACCAAAAACAGCACCGTAATCAGTGGCCATGTTAACTTGCGCCTGTGAGTAAAAATTGATCGTTCCTCCGGTCATTTTTGATTCAGCATGCCAGGTATTCCACAATTAGCTCAATAATTGAGGATATGGGAATTTCAGATTATTTTGTGCTGGCTAACGGGAGATTAGTTCTCAAATCCTAAGTAGAGACGTCGAGTACTTCCCTCTCATCATTACACAGCCCGGCGCACGTTAACTACTTCATTTGCTTTGTGCGATAATTGCAAGAGTGAATTGTTGCCACGCCCCCTGTAGCTCGCTCCTGAGCAATATCGGACATCGTCCCAAGAAGAAACAGTTGAGACAATTGCGAAACTGAAATCATTTACGCTTCGGTTACAAGACCAGATTATCTGAAAGAATGCTTCTACAACTTCCACTGGACTTAATATACGTCATCCTCGACTTTGTAAGAGAATCAATTCTTCCACAAATGAGGCAGCAGACTGACACCTCTTAGATTCCAGAGCATGACCATCTTTGGAAACTCTGGAACACTTCGAAATCATTGCGGCCTTATGTGGCTGAGAGATTATTTTGTCAACTGGATGTTTTCCTTCAATCAACATCTACTCTCAGTTTGAATGGGAGGACATTGCAGGCCAGGGCAATCTCAATAATCCTACGGAGTATGTCATCGGAAATACAGAAAGTTAACCTTGGCTGCCATGGGTGCGATCTACCCATGAGCCCTGGAAACCTGGCCGTCCTGAAGAATTTCCCGTACGACATGATGCCCCTCTCCACCTCTTCCTATTTTCATTTTAAGTGCTTGTCTTGAATATTCATGTTGAAATACGCAGCTCTGACACGAATTAGTACCCAAATTGTGCAACGCAGCCAACAAGGGCACATACAACAACTATTATCCACGAACCAAGTCCCTTTACGAAACACTGTGCTCCACACCCCGTTGAGCCTAGGGATCTATTGTCCTTCATTCTGGCTTTTGCGAGAACTTGAAATTCGATCTGCCGGATGCTTGACGTTTCCTCATTTGCCATCGCTAACATTCCTTTCTATCGATTTTGATTCTCATGTGTCTCGCTCGCATCATTGTTCGGTTCTAGTGAACCTATCAAATTTTCCGCAGCTCTCTCGACTTGAGATCGCGTGGCTAGAGAATGACAACCTCGCACTTTTTGGCTCAACGGAATCTCTAAGGTTATTCATTTTGAACCACTCAATTGCTGGAACAAGATTTGCTTCAATGATTTCCAATATGAGTGCCAGCCTTGATGAGATCCGCATTAATCGGTCCATTCTCCTATTTCCTTGGGTACCTTGCTCCCCCCCGGTGAAATTTTCCAATCTTAAAAGGCTCGAACTGGATGATTCAATCAGTTTTCTTCCTTTTCTTTTTGCCGATGAAATTCCAAAATCCATGGAAGAAGCCACCATCTCTATCGGGGATCAAGATTCCATTGAATTTGGAAACATTGTTGCAAAGCTCCTGATCCTTGTTGCAGGCGAGGAAGAAACCATCAGAATCACAGATGGGGAAAGGGCTTTCGCTCTTATAAGGCACATTCTCTCATTTTTAAAACAAGAAGCACATTAGGACGTAACTAGACCCCGTGGAAAAAATTGCGTGCAGGTATAGAAGTTGCCATCTCTTCATCCGTCGGTAATCAGCAATCAGTTGAAGTCCTGAATTGAGGTACAAGTGTGATGATGTTCAAACTATAAGAAAATATCCAGCCATTTGTAGTCGCAGTAGCTCACCTCCCTACTGCCTAGCGGAGTGGGAGCCTAACAGGCAGCCACTCCTACAGATCATATCCATCACGTGACCTGAGGATCCAACTCAGACAGCAATATACAGGTTACAACCACTGGTGACGCGCGCTTCGCACGCTGTACCCCTGAAACGAAAACGGGGCTGAAAAGTGAAGTAGGTTTGAGCAACAAACAGGAAAAGTCGAACTCACGGTTTTGGTAAGACGCCGAAAAGTTACAAGAAGTTAGGCCAATCATGTGCAAGCGCCGTTGTGTAGCACAGTGTGGCGTATGATGGTGTGGTGTAATTGGACGAGGTGGGATGCAGAGTATAAGCGTAAAGCCAAAATGGGTTAAACGGATAGGGCCACTCAATGAAGAGTGTTGAAATTCAGAGAAAAGATTGTTCTTGTTTCTTACCAAAGGGATACAGAGGGCTATATGTAGAACATGGAGTCCAATTTTATCGGAAATCTGCTTGGTTCTTCGTATAGACAGCGCAGGAATTCTTCCCGACGTTGCAACTTCGCTCCTGGCCTGCACATGCCTCTTGTCACAGCAAATAGTCCTATGATTAACAGATCGTAGCATAGGCCAAGTGGCGGGCCGCGCACACGTCGAGTAAGAAAAAAGCAGTGCTGAAAAGACAGGGACAGAGGTCGGAGACGGATGTAAGCCGGTTAAGCTGGTACTCCTTCTCACAGCAACAGCAAGTTGTCTAGTTTTAACCCGCCGCAAAGAAGCGCACCGGCGGTAACCGTCATAGGACTTAAACAGCGTGGAGTGGCATGGACCGGCGTAACGCGAGCAGAGGGTACTTTGGGCAGGGAGAGATGGCATTAGCAGAGAGATAAGTCGGAATCAGTAAACAGCATCGATAGCGAAGTTCAAGAAAGGGTCGACTAGGAGATAAGGAAACACGAGAAGCAGACAGCAGGGAGAAAGATCGGTGTCGATCATCAACACAATAGAAAGAGCAGATACCGAACACGTGTACTGGCGGGTTGGGCGCACCATGGCATATGCGCAGGACAAAACAAGGACAGAATCAAAGCAGAGGCGGGGACGGCGGAAGCTCACCGACTGAAAGACGCGAAGACTGACCAGGATCCCCAGACACGGAAAAAAGGCAACAAAGGTTGAATACGGACATTGGAAGCAGCGAGCCTAGGAAGGAAGGAAGGAAAGGAAAGAAGTCGTGAATCAATCAGAAGAGGGCGTGGAGAGACAGAGCAGCAACCAGGAAGGAAGCGTAGAGAAACGGACCAATCAGCTTCGAGAACGGCGGAGAGTTTGGCAGTGGGAGCGCAGCACAGGTTTGCGGGCAGCTCGCGGGCGGTAGTAACCCCTTTCACTACGTTCCTTCGTTTCAGGGTACAAGGATGAACTTTGCAAAGCAGGTACTGTACTAGGACAAGACAAGAGAGCAAAGAGACGAGCAGAGACAACCGAACACGAGAAGGAAGGAACATGACCGGGAATCCAACCAAGCACAATGAGAGAGGGGCTTGGAGGGGGAGTAGGGTGTGTGTTTTTCGCTGTGTTTTTGGCAGCGTCAACGTCGGCGTCGGGCAGCCGTGGGGTTGGTAACCCCTTCCACTCCGTTCCTTCGTTTCAGTGCATGGAGTGTGAATTTGCTGTGTTAGGCTAGTTGATTTTCAATTTTTAGGAACCATTAATCCTACAGAGTTCTAGTCACCATCCAGTTTTACATATGCCAGCTCATTGCAATTAAGCAGACTAGATAAGAACTGGTAAAACGAAACCTTCGCTCTCACCATCTCGTGAGGTGTAGTACATGCGCCAGCCAGGCCTTGTAAATGCATGAAAATACTCTTTGTCAAATTTACTATGTTAAACAAAGATCAACCTTTAGATCTGCAGAACTATCACAGGCCGTGGTGGCGTAATTTTCATCTGGATTGTTGTAAACGTGATCGCATTGCTGGACATTCGGAGGACAGGTAATAGTGATACAGTTTTCGAAAGATGGCTCAATACGTATTCCGTATTGCATCAATGGATTACCATTGATGTTCGAAAGATCATAGAACACCGTTTGTAAGGGTAGGCAACCAGTGTCTATGTTACTTGGGAAACAGGCGCTGTATTCCACCTGAGTTATATTGGAACTTCCTTCCTGAGTACCAATCTTGAGAGAAGACCCTTTACCATCAACTGTGAGATGATATGGATCAGAAA